CAGACATAATTCATTCGAGAAGACTGCTGGTTACCTTGGCTTTGTGAACATGGAAAAACATCGACTAAAATATCATTAGGAATAAAATTAGGATTGCGATCATATTCAGTAAATGCAAAATCTTCTTGTGACTTCCTCCTAATATAGTTATGTAGTGTCATTGATGCCACTACAATCTGCACTTGTAATTTGTATGGATATGCCGACGTGTTCTGTAAAATTCTCCACCTTTGTTTCCACACTCCAAATGCATGTTCAATGACATTGCGAAGTGACGAGTGTTCACGATTGAATCGCTCTTCCTAGCTGGTTGTTTGCCCTCGACGCCGAAACTCTTGGAAGTGATATCTCTCACCTTTATATGGACTAAGATATCTATACTTATTTGGATACCCAGCATCAACTAATAATATTTTCCTAATAACAAGGAAGAAAATTATAAAAAATTTAATAACAAAAAATATAGAATACACATATTTTAAATTTAATTAAAAATTAATTATTTTAATATATTTACCTTCAGGAGGTTTTGGAAATTTGATATTTGGATTGTCAATAGCCTCTAGAAAAATACGAGTATCATGAGCGCTACCTTTCCATCCTGCCCAAACAAAAGTGAATTGCATATCAAAACTACATGCGGCCATTACATTCTGTGTCGGCACACCTTTTCTATTGATGAATGACACTTGATTTTCCTGGGAAACAGAAGCACGAACATATGTGTCGTCTATTGCATCAATGCAATTCTACAAAATATGACAAAACACAACATTAACCAACATGTCATAAATAACGACTAGCCAAATCTTAAATAATGTTTTCTTTATCATTGGTTGCTATAAACAGCATCTGGCTCACCTTAAAATGAGGTATAAATCTCGGATTCATCGTAATTTCTCGTAGAGTGTTTAAAAATTCAAAGTCATGTGGTTTAATTATATCTACCGCAAGCAAACAAATTGTCTTTAACACCTCATTAAAATTTCAACTCACAGTTTCACCAGAATGTTGAATCTTTCTTGTCTATTTGTTGCATCTAATGCAATTGTGTACAAAAACATTGCCATCTTCTTAATAACACTTGTCCTTCTTGATGGTTTCAGCCCATACTGTGTTTCCAAGTCATAACAAAGGGTTTGTAACGTCGTTTCATCCATCCTAAACATGTTAACACACCGTTTCCGGTGTCCTCGTACAACTTCATTCAACCATCTCATCCCTGTGTTATATGAGACCATACAAGGTTCCTTATGCACATAAATAGCATAATACACGTGTAAAGCACTAGCAGTGCATAACAACAGCTTTTTACGATCATTTTCTCGTAGCCAAAATGAATCACCCTCATCATCAGAATAATTTTCGTCTTCATTTTCATCACTATCATCATCACTATCACCATCATTATCCATTCCGTTTGTTATCATCATCATTGTCACCATTATTATCCGTTTCGTTCGAATCATCCCCATCATCCCCACCATCATTAACTCCACCATTACCACCACCATTATCATCGTTGG